TCTCGCTCCCCTAGCAGGTAGTAGTTATAGTAGTAGTAGTAGTTATAGTTGTTGTTGTTGTAGATCTAACGACTAGATCTCCCGTGAAAAAGAGCTGCCTACTACCCCATCCTCTGCACGTCGCGGGCAAGTGGCTTGACGACCTGCTTTCTACATTCTACGTTTTTTTTCAGCAGCGCCAGGCACCTCCGTGCCGTGCGTCTACTTTGCCGTCCGCTCACGGCCCTCGTCATCTTTTAGTGGAACAAGTGCTCAAGCGATAACCGCTGGGGATGACCAAATCGGGCAACGAGACCGACTTCGGCGACCAGGATGACGATGAGGGGGGTTGGATGCCACTGCAACGTACAGGCTATGCACTCCACGAACTGCTTATGCAACTATGGCTTTCGCAGCAAAAACAACCCTCGGACGGTTTAGGCACTTCAGCGTTCATCCAACGAAGAATAGACCCATCAACCTTCGAGAGTTTGTGCGGTGGCTTGGGTTGGTGGACTTATATGGAAGCCGGGGGCACATGTATAGCGTCGCTGATGAAGCTGAGCTGCTGGTGGACGTCTTCGGAAAATAGGATCTCGTGGCACATTTACATTCGCTTCGGAACGTTTCCGTGCGCAAACTCGCGCTGACGCTTGCATTAGGAGCTGGCTCTATCATACTTAATGCTCTTGGATCTGATGGAATCGATGTGGCTGAAGGATCAATTGAGCCCTGACGACGTCTACAACATGATGCGTATTGCCTCGGCGAAATCAGTTGTAAAGGGTCGCGGTGGGTTAGAAGCGTTCATGCAGTGGTTAAAGTATGTCGAGCGGCTCAACAAGATTGCTTCGAGTTTACACGGCAGCATATCTGTGTTCAACCAGCTCGTGCAACACATAGGCAAAGTAGAGCTGGCAAAACTGTTCCATTCTCTTCGAGGTGAGGCATGCATGGACACTCGTCCTGACGTCTGGCAACAAATGGTAGCTGAAGCGTACCCAGACACCGTAGAGGACACGTTCGTGGCTGGCGTCAAAAAAGAAACTTGAGGAGGTCTATCACTCGATGCTGATCGCACTTATTCTAAAACGTACGCTTTGGCGTCAAAAGAGAGCGGACGTAGAGTGCCCTCTGTGGCAAAAGAGAGTAAGCGGCGGACAGATTGTGCTGATCTGTACAGCGTTGTTATAGCGAAGAGAAAGGATGACACATAGTGACGATCATGTGCTCGAGCAACTGATACATAACTAAATCGAGTCTGGGTTCAGTTAAGCATCAGTTGCTCAACCACATTACCGTCATTGTATATTTCTTTCGTTGTCTCCAAGACGCCGCTGGCATGCTGGATCGCGCTTACAGATGGGAGCGGTCGCGAGCTAGGAAACATGAGTATAAATTGGCAAGGTGCGAGATGTGGGTCGGAGGCAAAGATGGACCTTAATGAAGCCGGTATATCGTTGCGCAGCGAAGCGCAGAAAGCCTTGTAAGTGCCGATATACAGACTAAGGAGCGATGGCTAGGTCATTGATGGGCTGTCTGCAGTTTCGAGATAGAAATACGAAAACGGATTCAATTGAGCCTTATTTGCTTTGAGATGTTCCAGAGAGATACACGCGCGGCGACTGATTGCTATATACTTGAGGTAAATCTTTGCGCTTTTCATTGCAAGAACCGATCCACAACATCAGATACAACGTGTTGCAAATGCTTATCGAAGACATTGGCAGCATGCAAAGTCGCAACACGCACTCTGGTTAAGCATACGCTTCCTCGACTTCAGCAACGGCTACGCTCGCATGAGGGAGATATACCAACTTTTTTCTCTCAGCCAGACAACAAAAAACCAGAATAAAAAACCGGCAAAACACTAAGACAGCGCGAGGTAGACCGAGCCCCTTCTTTCGCAATACGATTGATCTCGCCCTTGTGCCTTTGCGCCGGCCAAGAACACGTCGTTCCAGGTTGGTCCGTGTTTGTAAAACATATCTGTAGCTGACGAAGGCCAGCCGCAGTCAACCTACGTGCTTTTCGTCAGCGTGAAAGCTCATGCGAGACAAGAAGAGGATGCTGGCACGTCATCATAACATCTCTGAATACACATCATGCTTGTCTCTTGTACTAACTTGCTGCCAATGCAACACAAGTGTTGCCAATGCTCCTTCTATGTCGCCCACATCTCTTCTTCCGCACACATTGCTGATGTTCGTTATCGAAGAGGTACTGACGTCGTGTGCGGTCGTGCACTTTTGTATCAGCATAGTAATGCAAATGGCGCGAGTCGAGCACTGCCGAGATACTTCCTGTCGAGCGGTACCGTATACTCTCTCTGGACCTCATCTACCATCCATATCTTGTAATCGAATTGATGTGGGTATGGCCATCCGTTCAGTCTTTGCTGCACACAGTTTACGTGGCGACTGTCGATGTGTGGTAGAAGTTACCAACAATGATCGGTCACTATATCCATATAGTTATCGCGTTCGCGTCAGTGGGTCCGATATGACTGCAGACAAACTAGGCTACACCGACTACTCTAGAGGCGTTGTACGCGCAACACAATGTCCGACAGGCGCAGTTTCCATCCTGGGTATGAGCCCAACACCATTGAGTGCAAGCGATCCTTGCAGCATTAAGACGCTTGACTGTGTATGAAATACCCATTATGTAACGGTATATCGATGCGGGACGTCTTCAGCTACAGAGGCCCTCACCGTAGAACGGATAGTACACGCGCGAACGCTCACATACAATCGTCTCGATACATACAATCGTCTCGATACATACAATCGTCACCATTGAAACGAAAGCTGTGCGTGGAAAAACAGTTATGTGAACGCTGGCGTCACCTTTCACGGTGCTGCGTCTTGAGGCCATCGGCCCACTTGCCAAATTATTGATTAGTCATCATTGCGTAACCCGTGTAGAGAGATATCGTCCATTGTCAAGAGCTTTTGTCGCACGTGACGGCAGCATTTGCGTGACCCAGAGATTTCTTGCAGAGTAGATGGATGTTGGGAGATCCGATTGGGCGGAAGAAAGAGCCTAAACGACAATGCTTCTAGCACAATGAGGTTTCCGTTTGTCAACGTCATGAGCTTCTGGTGACAATAACGTTCGGATTGGCGCGAACGGGCCACGGACAGACGCGTGCTTAAGCTCGGCTTGCGCGGGGTAGGATCACTTTCTTTCATAATGTTAGCGGTGAATCGCTACCAACGTGGCGTCTTGCTTCCAAGCTACGTGTTAGTCGAACGATATCCGTAATGGTGTCGTAAGCGCTGCTGATCTTGCGCAGGAACTCCATCAGTCACGTAGATAGCAGCGCTATGAAGGTTTGCCGCTTGTAGCTAACGACCCACGCAGTTCCAATAACAGCGAGGAAAGGTACTTGCATTGGTAATGATTCGCCGTGCGGGCATCCAAATGAGCCTGGCAGCACGTAGCAAATTACGTCCGGTGTCTGCAACAGCATCGGTGATTCACATGGTGTATCTGCGCTGGCTGTGCAGTGCCGCTTTCGTGACCACCGCAGCATCAGTCAAGCTCTCGACCATCGCTGCTGCGCTTGTGAGAGAAATTGCTCCGTCGTTCATTGTGTGTCTACAATCTTCTTCTTGAGATCACTGTCACTCTCCAAACCGTTCAGCTCCGTCACTCCGGCAGCTGATGTTGTGGCGTGATCGCCAACCAGCTCATTCCGTTTATGCGTGACATTGGCTCTGCGAAAGTCGACGAGGAGCTCTTGAATGCGTGCGTATTGCTGATCGAATGTATGTGAACGTGCACGAGCGTTTTCACAGTCAGCTAAGACGACGGCACTTGTACAACAGGACTCATGCGAGGCACAAACCTCGCAACGAGAGGCGATCGATCACGTGAATCTTATCGCAGTGCCAATTGCAACCTCTTCTTGAGCGCAAGCAGCTCTTTGAGATTCACGTCGGACGTTGCGAGCAGTATACCATTATCACCAAGTTTCACAGACGCTCACGCAGTAGGGAATAGAGACGGAAGATGCATCGACTGCTCGCCGTACCTTTGATCGGGTGGCAGCGTCTGTATGGCAGGTCTATGCAGAAGGGCCACTGGGCTCACGATCGCATCGATTTGGTTCGTGACGTAGCTGATCGTTAGCGTGCGGGTTGCCCTGATCGGACTATCTCGTTGTCTGAGCCAAACGCGGATGCTGAGCTGGTCCTCAAGCTGCAAAAATACGCTCTGACACACGGGACACACTGTGGCTCAACTCACGCACAGATTTTATCACTTGCCAGCGTTCGTGCACGACAAACAGTATTCAACTCGAAACATTGCAGTGACTTACGCTAATGCGCCGAATTCTTGACACCAATGGACCAGTTTTGCCGCAACTGTAACGTTCAAAACGCACACAAAGAGCCCATCGCTCGTTAAACTTGAGCTCATCAACGCATCGTCGACTGCACGACATTCCTTCTCCGAGATGGCGCGTGTGTCAAAGTTGCAAGCGCTCGATTGGCACTTGCAATAATTTTGAATCATAGGTTGGAGCAGACTCGCTTGGCTCATGTCAGGGTCAACTGAATCGAGTGATCAGCTCGATCGAACATATTCTGCGCATGCCACTACCAGACCGAATTTCTCGACGTGCTAGTGCGATGACACATGATTCATACCTCAAAGGCAACAACACCGCGTAATGCCAGCAGTATGTTGGCTTGCTCCAAAGGAATCTATGTGATTATCTTAGTGTCAATTTGGAATCGAGTGCGACGCATGCCTCAATATGTTGGCTTACTCTAACGAGATCTAACTGATTATCTTGTTGACAGTTTGGATGCGAGTGCATTGCATATCTCCTCGAAAAAGATGCTGCTGCGTCGAGTAGTACTTGTACCGACGAACGCACTCCGACAAGTGTGCGCTGTACGTTCAGTAACGTTGCTCAACACACGCCGTCTGTCGCCTTGCCTTTTTCTATTTTCTCTCATATCTGTACTGTACGAACCTCGTACAGCCTGGCCATACAATCAGCTCGATTACGCTGCCTTCTCGCTCAACCCTTCCTTAATACCGGCAACTACTTGGTGGTACTGCGGAAATCGAGAAATGTCTCCTGAGTATACGAGGCTAGGCGGGTGCTTCATGGCCTCCTTCACAACTCGCTGGATGTCATCGGCAGTAACGCGGTCGATCTTGACACACACGGATTCAGGCGTCTCACGCATTCCATACGTAAGCAGCTGGCGACCGATGTCTTCGTACAGGATCATGCGGGACTCGAGGTTCATGAGCACAGACGATTTCAGCTGGTTCTTGGCACGAGCCAGCTCAATGGCACTGACCGGTTCCTTAGCGACGCCGAGCATCTGGTTGCACAACAGCGCCACGAGGTTGCTGGTGTGGGACGGAATACAAGCACCATATATACCCAGAAGGCCAACGTCCGTATGTATGGACGAGAACGCAAAAGCCGACTCGACCCAATAGAAACGATTCAATACGCTTGTGTACAAGCGCGAGTACATGCCTTTGCCTGGACCTCCAGCCGAAAAGCTGTCCCCGCCACCCAACAACGTGTGCAAGACACAAATGGGTACCAGATCTTCGTCATGCCAGCCGCCTGTAGGGAATGCCAAGGCAGCGTACGAGAATTCCGACTCGGGCTTCGGCAGCGGATATAGTCCGCCTGTGTAAACCACTGGCTCCACCACTTTTCGTTTGACTGGTGTTGTCATCTGCGCATCTATTGGAGCTACCGGGACATTTGCAAACAGCTTTTCCGCGTGCTTGACCAGTCGCGCGTGGTCCACACCCGAGCCAGCCAGAACCATCTTCTGAACCACAAAATGCTCGGCCCGGAACTTCTGGACCTTGTCCACCGTCAGGGCATCAATCTTGTCCAACGGACACTGGAGCGGCCGTCCCAGCGGCTTGTCGGCGCCATATGCTGCCGCATGGATGAACTCCTGCAGCATGGCCTGTGGGTTCTCCATCAGCTCTTCCGTCTGGATACGCATGACAGCTTTCATGCTCTCCATTTCCTCAGGCAGCAGCTCGACATTCAGAATCGCGTCGGCCAGCAGCTCGAGCCCTTTTTCCACATTGTCCCGCAGCAAATCAATCGTGTAAATAATTTGCTCGCGCCCAGCGGACGACGTCGTGAGCGCACCAATGTCCTCAATCTCCCGCACGAGCGCTGCGTGCGAGCGCGACGTAGTGCTCTTGAAGCCCAAATGCTCGAGCAGATGGCTCACGCCCACGCTCTCGTCGCCCTCGTCGCGACTGCCGGCGTCGATAAAGAGTCCGAGCGTCGCCGCTTGGCCGTACGTCTCGTGCGAGACGACGCGCAGACCGGACGGCAGCACGGAGAGCTCCGTCGCGGGCGCTTTCAATTGGCTCGCGGGCTTCAGCGTCGGGAGGCCCGGGAGCTCGTGGTCGAGCGATTGCTGCGATTTAATTGGCGGACACGCAGTCGGGCGCAGGATCGCGGCGGGGTCCACGCTGTGCGTCGGCGCACGCGCTTGTGACAGCGCCCGCGCTCGCGTCCAGAGAGGGAGCGCTGGGCAGCGGCCAGCGAGGCGTTCGGCCAGCTGCGCAGCGCGCCGCAGCGCCCCGGGCGAGCGCAGCGACGACAGCATTTGGGAGCGTTTGCGTGCGGCGGACGTGTTGATGTGGTGCACTTCACGTAGGACCCCCAGCGCTGAACCGGTTTGCTGGTACCGTCGCCGCTGCACCAGTCATTGTGAAGCCATGGCCGGCAAGCGCAAGAAGACGCACTGGGCCGTGCGGCGCAAGCTCAAGCACGCGCGCGGTGGCGACGGCCCGCGTGCCGCCGACGACAATGACCGGCAGCAGCAGCACACGGACCGGCGCGTTGATCGCGTCGAGACCGTCCACCCTGGCTCGTACGCGGCGCAGCGTCCTCACGTCGCGTCGACGACTGCGGCAACAGTGTTGCCACCCAAGCGCCGCTATGGTCTGTGGGTGGCTTTCTGCGGCAAGAACTACAGTGGCATGCAGATGAACGAAGGCGTACGGACCATTGAAGCAGAGCTCGAGCGTGCTTTGTTCGAAGCGGGCGGCATTGCCGAGAGCAACTATGGTTTCTTGCAGAAGATTGGCTGGAGTCGGGCAGCTCGGACGGACAAGGGCGTCCATGCTGCTGGGCAACTGCTGACGGCAAAACTTCACGTGGACGAAGGTGACGACAAAGTGTTGGCGTTTGTTGCCGGAGTGAACAGTGCGCTGCCCAAGGACATTCGCGTGCTGCAGATGGTGACCGTCACCAAGAACTTTAATGCGAAAATGATGTGCGACCAGCGCACGTACGAGTACTTGGCGCCGACGTTCATTTTTGGTCAGCGCACACGTTGTGTAGGACTGGAGGATAAAAAGAAGAGGCATGAGGACGGAGAACGAGAAGCGACGCAGTGGACAGTGGATGCGTGTGACGTGGAGAAGGACGGAAGCGACCACATAGTGATTGACAGTCCGACGCTCGAGGCTCACAAGGCCTTTCGAATGAGCGAAGACACATTGAAACAGCTCGACGCGGCGTTGCAGCAGTTTGTCGGAACTCACAATTTCCACAACTTTACATCGAAAATGGAACCCACAAACCCACAAGCAAAGCGCTATATCATTTCATTTGAAGTCGACCGTCCGTTTGTGCAGTATGAAATGGAATGGGTGCGCCTGCGTGTCGTTGGCCAGAGCTTCTTATTGCACCACATTCGCAAGATGATTGGTACTGCCGTGGAAGTCGTCTCGGGTATGTGCGATCCGTCAACTATCGAGCGTGCCATGCAGCTGACGAAGATGGACTTGCCAAAAGCTCCTAGTGTGGGACTCTATCTGGCCCAAGCTCACTTTGAGGTGTATAATCTGAAGATGGCAGACTCGATTCAGACGTCTCATCCTCTGCTTGATTTGAAGGAACCAGCGGTAGCGGATGCGGTCGAACAATTTAAGCGTGACTTTATCTTTGACCACATCATGAAGCACGAAGAGTGCACACGCACTTATGCTAAATGGTTGCGCATCATGGAAGTGCTCCCATTCGACTACATACCCAAGTCCTATCTAGAATGGAAAAAAGCAAAAGAAGATGAAGCTGCTCGTACAGATCGTGCGGGTAGGCGTGAGTTAGCAAAGCTAGCGCGTGCTGCTGAAGCTACTGTCCAAGCAGTCACTAGTGTGGAGACGAAAGTAGTCTTACAAGCTGATATCGTTGCCGCTGATTGAGTACAGCTTGTTTTTGCCCAAGCATCTTTTGATACAGACATCTTGTTGAAATGGTGTCGGACATCCTACCTCGCCGACTCGCTTGTAGCAGTCTTTGACTACATCAGTAAAGTTATCGGCTCTGCTACATTGCGATTGGTGCGTTTATAAGGCTCTGCTGCTAATGTTGTGTTGTGTGCCTGTCAGCTTTTTTGACAGATGAAGTTTAATGCCTCAAATTTATGGTTATTATCGAAGATCTGCGATGTATGAACATGAGTGTCTTGCTCCCACTTGTATCGTTATGACACGTTCGCCACGCGTCTGAACAATGCAACAGATACTCACGATTTTTACCCAGGCATCCCACCCCCATTCAGCAATCAGACGCGCAAATGTTTGTATTGTACTTCACAACGATATTTTCTTGTGCGTTTAATTTGTTTACTGGGCTTGACAACAATAATTGTCACAATGGACGTCACGTCATTCATAAAACGAGGACTTACGTATCGGTCGTTGCGGCAATAGCAGCCTGTGGTTGCATGTCGAATAGATACGTTTACGCCCTTCAAAGCATTTCCACATGCTGTGGAGCTCTTCTAGTTTTGCACCACGAAAAGTCGATGTCAGGGTACGGCGACAAGACACTAATGTCTTGGCAGGCAAGATGCCATATCATCTGCGCTGTTCTCAAGAGCATGCTTTCGCTGCGTTGCTATCAGGGTGGTCGGAATAGTCGATAATAATGTGTGGTGAATTTCGTGCATCAGAACTGTGGCCCGCAACGTCAACCGCTTTACGACGCACCGTACGACCTGCTCCAATCAGGTCCAAGGCGCGTCTACAGCACTAAGGTATAGACAGTGTTTTACATTTCTACGATACGAATGAACGTAGTGTGACTGAGGACGGCGAGGACCCAGAAAAGGTCCTGACACGTACAAAGCTCTTGAATGAGTTTTGCTACATGAGGGTTGTTGCGTTCACGTCAGGTACCTTACTAAACGTTTGATCCCCCCAAGGTGTAGAAGCCGGTCCCGTCCTGTTCTTTGGCCAGTGCGTGCGTAGCGACTATGCAATCCAAAGCTTTGTATCATATGGCTTAGCCACCGCCATTTAAGATCTGCTACATCGGCAACCAGTACGTGGCATTAATAAAGGATGACGACTTCCACTGAGCCCGTAACGCTTGCCAACATCAGAATCAGCATAGACTTCATGCAACAGGACTCAAAATCGATCGCGTTGCCGTTCCGGATCAAAAGCTGTTGCAGCGTCGGCTGCATGTTTTATTGGAACGTTTACAGGCCAGACCAGCAACCTGATTCGAGATGTAGCGTCATGACCAAGACATTCCAGCGCCTTACAAATATGGAACTATGTGCACGCATACCGTTGCTCTCACAAACGCAGCACATTTCCCTGGAGTCGCTTACCCTTTGCGAATGGAGTAATAGAAATGCGTCCGACAAGACTTCTTTGCATCGTTTTCAATGTATCCCAGGAATAAACAGCATTAACAAAAAGCTCCAAAGATGCGAAGACGTCGCCGTGCGGGGCGAGAGGCCGCGTGTTTGTTATAACGCATAAATCATATACATCTATGCTGATGACATGGGGGAGACCTGAAGTCATTTTTTGACCTTATCCTGGTCATTGACATATTTTGTTGCCCCGTGCCGTCATCCTTCTACGATAACGATCGAAATGCTACGTCGAACGCTACAAAGTTGAATAGTGTCTTGCCGGCGCCTCGGTGCGCTGATCGTGCAAAGCTTTATCTCGATTGCAAACTAGTACATATGTACACGATCATTCCGGCGCGTCATATTATGACCTATCGCGCCGCCATTGGTGGATACGATCGCCTGGTCAACGTCCCTGTTTCTTGTCAGAATCTTTTGGTAGGCGAGCTCAGTGACCGTACCACTGATGAACCTTATCGCAGCTTAAACAAGAACTAGCTATCGCTCGTGTTGAGGACGACCGTGACTGCATGGAACTACAATACGTTACCTTTCGAACAGAAAGGGCTCTTAGTGCCTGGCTAGCATCGCATCCGTCCTCGCAACGCCTTCACTGCTGGTTTTTGATGTGATGTGGACTAGACTGATATTGCCAACTCATACTTGAATTTGTTCAGCAAAGTGCTAGCATACCACAACTCACATTCAGCGTTGACGGCTGCACAATAGTTTATAGGAGCGATGGCATTGCTCGACCCAGGGACCGCATCAGTACGTGCGTATACAGACTAGCTGCAAAGGTGCGTCTGTCCTTGCCGGCTGGAACCCGCATCGTTCGGATTTTTTGGCTTACTGTACGACGGCAAGAAGTATGAGCCCAGCAGCACCAAGCTAAGTCGATCGACGAGAGGAGCTCGGCTTACACCCTAACACAATGCCACGTGCCCCAACAATGCCACGCTTACGTTAGCTTAACTACAGCGCATACATCAACACATCATACCATATTGCACTTCATTGCGTAATTTCGCTCGACCTCTCGCGCTGCTGTGCCGCTCGCTGGTGGGATACCCGTTTCGCAGACAGCACCTGCAGCACGTACGGACTTAAGCGAATTTGACTTGGCTATAGTATCACTGGACCGGTATGCATCACACGTGATTAGGAACAAAAGGGCTCTATTTTCCTCCAAGGCGATTGTAAGGTGGCTTTACCGGAGTGCGACTAATGGTGGTTTCGGTGGATCGTGTGGACGACTAAGAGTACGAACTAAAGTCACTTGGACTTCTATTCCGATCCCATGATTCCATAACGCCCATGGCGAAAGAAGCGGAGGCCAATACGGTGCATGACGTTTGCTAGAATGCTGAGACGTCCGTAAATGATGGGTTTGCATGCACCTTGGACTTATGGGTATTCACGGCAGAACTGACACAATTTGTATTCGCGTCCATCCATGAACCATTTTAGATCTGGACCGCTGCTTCTTCTGCTCGACGAAGATTGTGAACAAGCTGAGAGTTGCACGCGTTTGGTTTCCTCCAGGTAATGCGTCTTCCCCAGATCGGCACTTCGGATTCATGAGGTGGGACAATGACGCTAGCTTCATCAAAAGCACCACGCTATGCCGTGCTCGAGTGCAGCGAGCCGCTGGCCAATATCCAAACGCCGCGTTCTCCCTACGAGATGCACATAAATTTCACGGGTTCAGATAGTCATGACATCGTGTTGCCCTGATGTACACGAAGACCTCGACAGCGATGCTCAACGTTTCAACACAATCTGGCTTAGCATTTCTTCTGCTTCCTGTAATGCTGTTTTAGCCTCAGTGGTGGGATCCCGCGCGGTTCAAATCCTGGCCGCCGCGGTATCGAAATTTTCCAGGTGTGCTCGGCCGACAAGTCCTGCCACCGTCGCTGAATAGCGCAAGCAATCACGCCCACGTCTGAAGCCGTGAGTAACTACTATGCAAATCAGTTTTCCGAAAAGAACAGTGTAGGTCCAATGCCGTAAGCCCACTTGTCAGTCAACAAGGCGGTGGCACAGGAAGAATAAGGACCAGAACTTGTCCTGGTTTGCTACCCCAGCGCACCGGCGATTTGAACACGGTATCAGCAGCGGCGACAAGCCCTGCTCGCCCATAACCACTCCTTTGCCCGTCTACAGCAAATCCATGATTTGCTCAGCGATAGTGCGGTCCATTTTAAATCTTACACTCTTTCCTAACAGTAGACCACCGACCCCGGTGGCCGAGTTGGAAAGGCACTGGCACCGCGACCGGGGGTTCGTGGATTGATACCAGCACAGGGGCGGTACGATCACACATCGCCGGAGAGTGGCTGACAAAGTCGGATAGTGAGACGTACGCGTACCCGAATGTACCTCAAATCTTCTTTCTCCTACAAATAGACCGTCGAAAAACGTCGCTGTCCATTACGATCTTTTTCGCAGTACGCGCGGCAGAAACGATCCAGTTCCACACGCGAATCTAGTGGTAGAGATAGCCAAGCTCCGATTGATCACCCGGTTCCGAAAGCAACTCAGATACGGTCAAATTTACACTCGCGGCTGAGTTTGTGCAGTCGTTCAAACGCGGTTGCAGACGTTCACTTTATCTTCGAGCGTAGGGTGCCACTTTTGTCTGACTTGTTGATTAAAATGAGTGAAGCTGCGAGTTACCTAATGCCGGCAAAAGTCGTTGTTGATGAGCGAGAACTCGGCTCTTCTTTTTCGTCACCACTGTCGTACGCCTTCCCTTGCAAATCTGTGCCCCAACCACATGAACAACGCCGTGACCGCAAGACAAACATTGCCACACAACGGTCTGTTGGAAAGCTTATGCCATAGTGGCATGCAAAGATACTGCCCGTACCTTCTGAAGGCATGGGGAGGTATACTAGAAGGTACTTAGAAACTCAGGAGCAGACAGGTAATTTTTTCGCGTTACGCTTCTTTTTAAAGGCTGTCGACTGACCGAATTCGCTGGACAGTTTTGCTGCTGCAGTCACTTCCGAATTTGCCCACTCGCCCACTCATCGGAGGTACTAGAAGGTACCTTGAAACTCAGGAGCAGACAGGTAACTTTTTCGCGTTACGCTTCTTTTTAAAGGCTGTCTACTGACCGAAGTTGCTGAACAGTTTTGCTGCTGCAGTCACTTCCGAATTTGCCCACACGGCCACGCAACGACAGCGACAGTGCCCAATATGCGCTTGCGCTGCATCGGTCTTCTGGCTGCTGCGGCGGCAGCGGTTGCTGCACTCCCATGCGCCGCACATTCTTCTGACTTCGATAAGAGTGAGCCCAGTTCCCCGATCACTGGACGCTCAGCTGTCGATGGCCGCGACGGCACTGCTGTGAGTCAGACGAGCGACTTAGCGAGTGGGGAAGAGAGGAGGAGGCTGAGATCCAGTAGTAAGGCCGCCTTCGATGTTGATGAAGCTGCAGAGAGATTCGCGCACCTTTTACCTGACAAATTTGGGCCGCACATCCGTTCAACCTTAGGAGGGCAAGTGCAAACACTGAACGTACAAGCCGTGAAGAACTACATGCACTCGAGCGATCGTCACGTGGACAAGATGAGACTATTGTTTGAAGCTAATGAAGACGGCCGAACAGCACTCGCAAAGGTCATTTTTTCGAAGATTATCATGGCGGAGAAGAAGCGCATATTGAAAGAAACTGAACTCGTGCGGAGTAAGATTTCGATGGAGCACGACCCTGTAAAGGTCGTCAGAGCTTTAATGGAACGACCCGACTTGAATCTTGAAGACGATCATTGTATGCGCATCCTGGAAAATTATATCAGCCAATATAACTGGGAGCATCGAGGAACGGATGAGGGCTACACGTTGGACGGTGTGATGTCGGCAGCCCGTAACAGCATGGGCGAACACGCCCGTCGACTCTCGGTTGCGCAGACGAGCGCAGGTGACGAGAGTGCCGCAAAGCCTCTGCACGAAAGGCTGATAAAAGCTGGCGGCCAATGAAGTCTTCAGCGGCGTAGTGCACACGTTGCGGGGAGCTCGAAGCTGGAAAAGGGCTTCGCGAATGCTGGCAGGGCATTTATTTCTGACACGCCAAGCGCTTTGGGGATGAGCTTCCCGACGTCCGTGCAGCTACGTAGGAGTGCCGGTGAACGACGTGTGGCAGGGAGGAAGCTGAGCTGATTATGACGGAAGAGAGCGATACGTTGGTGGCGAAGCGTGAGTGGGTTTTACATGGATATTAGGTGGCAACGATTCGTCAGCGGAGAAACAAGACAACGGATTCGTGCGACGTGGCAATGACTCTCGCGTCTTTTTTCGTTGCTGGCTAAGAGTAACTGCATAACGTGTTTCCTCTAGTTGCATGAACTGGACAGATCGCAATATATGTTTGAACATCATCTTGACTTTACTTTTCGTGGCGACAGGTGTAGCGACAGGTGCGTAGGCAAGAGGACTGGTCACAAGCGCTGTTGTCAATGCGCATGTATCCAAATGTAAGAAACGCATGCATTTTCCGCTCACTAGACTTTGGTTGATGCTTCATGCAGAATAGATCTGACCTATGCGTTTTGCTGGATTACGGGAGCCATGCAACGAGGGTTCTTCTTGATGCCGATCGCAGTACTTTTTTAGTGGGCCATTGTAACGGGGCAGCCCGATACATGATATGGTCATTTGAGAGATAATGACAATAAAGAATATTAAGATGAATATTCTTTCAACAATATCACAAGACATGGTGATATTGTTGAAGATGACCGAAGGGTCTACTTATTGGTTGATATCTTGATGATATCCACCCACCAATCGCCGCAAGACGCGCGCAATGAGTGGTGAGTAGACGTCGTCATACATTCAGTTACATTGATATAATAAAGTTAAGTCAATCAGAGAGACAGTGGTTAAAGACTTAATTATATTAATGTAACAGTTTTTACTTTTTCCTTATCTACGCTTCCTCGTTTGCCTCGTGTACGCTTGTCGGGGTACGATACCCTTGCGTTAAGTTCACGCAAGGGTGTGCCCCGTTACACCTGGTAGCACTTTGTAGTCCTTTCAAGGACCACAGCATCCAACATGAACATGTTGGATGACGAAGAACCCTTTCACGCCACGCGTGAAGGGTTTACCCACTTGAGCGACATCGAATGGGGTGCGGTAGAACGAATGAGTTCTACCGTAGGCGAGTTCTCCATTAGCGCCATGTTGGAGTTTCTGGACAGAGACCAACAACATGCCGATATAGCCAGGTTCATTCAAAATGAACTTGTCGCCGAAAGGGAGAAAGTAGCCTTGCTTCACCAGCAAGGCTCTCAACAGGCCGAGCAGCTGAGAGAACTCGGTGCTCAATAGACAGTGCTGTTGAGACAGCAGCAATTCCATGCTGCTGTGGGCGGGACGGCACATGCTCGTCGTCCCGAAGTCATGAAAGTTGACATCTTCAAGTACAGAGGAGTCCCGGAAGACTCCCTGTTACTGTGGTTTGTCGAACTCGACAGAGCCTTAAGGGCTAGTCGCGTCGAAGATGAGCAAATGAAACTCACATTTGCTCAAACACGCTTGGCAGGGCGTGCCAAAACTTGGTCCCTGGGGCTCGAGAGTAGCGACCCACATGTGTTTAGGTCGCTAGATGACTTCAAGTCCCGGCTCAGACAAACGTTTGAGCCGCCAAGGGCTAAGTTCAGGGCTCTTTCAGAGCTCCTGAAACTCAAGCAGGGTAAGCGTGATGTGCACGCTTACGCTCAACATATACGACTCCTCTCGAGTAGTATAACTGCCAACCCAGTACATGAACACACGTTGATTACGGTGTTCATGCAAGGGCTCGCAGAAGGGCCCGTCAGGAGCCACCTGTTCCGCCTTGAGCTGAAAACGCTTGAAGAAGCGATATCAGCCGCGGAACAGGAAGACTTTAGCATGAGACAGGCTCATGCTAGCTCAAACTCTTATCGTCCACCGAGACGACAAGAGATCGGAGGTCCAGAACCAATGGACCTCTGCTATGTTGAGAGCGAGAGACCTAGCTCTCAACATAGCTTCAAACAACAAGCGATTGCAGAAGTGCAATCGCTGTCAGAAGTTAGGGCACTTCGCACATGAGTGTAGTGCCCCACGCCCAGTACCAAGCAGTACTGAGCGAAATGGACGACCATTCGCCAAGAAGGGCAATGGGCGTGGGTCCAGCGCTGTTACGAAGCCGCAACAGCGAAACGGACCAATAAAAAATGGACGGGGTCAGTAGGGGCGGAGAGCCCTACTGATCCAGCAACCTCAAGAGAATTTGCAAATCTCTTGACGAAAGTTGTTTCAGATACACAATCATTGTGTGTCTCTGCACCTGGTGATGACGTTTCGCTCATCACCTTGAAGTTGGAAGCGACAAATGATTTGTCGCTTCGTGCCCTAGTAGACTGTGGGGCGTCGAACAACTTTGTTCGTCTCCAGTCACTAGAGGGTTGTAGGCTCAAGTTCGTTGAGCGCGACATTCCCCTCACAAGGATGACGGTGCGCCTTGCAACAGGCGCATCGATAACCGTTGAGAAACGTGTAGTAGGAATCCACTACACGTTGGAGGGCGAACAGTACGATGATGACTTCATCGTACTGGATCTGGATGACAAATTTGATGTCATCCTGGGATTGCCTTGGCTCAGAAGGTACAAGCCAAGGGTGAGCCGGCAGCATCGATCCGTGAAGATGCCTGCCGCTTGTTCATCAGATGGCCATCTGATGAACATCTTGGAGCGTCCACAAGCGTGTGGATGTTCTGCGAGTGAGTGCGATGGCCTCACTTGCGGTACGGTCGTTAGCACGACTGCACAAGATCACAGTGTAGTTGATCACTACACTGTGGAGCAAGCTCCCGGTGGCTGTACAGGAGTACAGGGTGCGCCGAAGGTCCACCACTCGAAGAAGCCGAGTGGACTGGGACGTGGATGTACGCCTAGCGGGCGACATCCTAGCAAGAGTAAACCGGTTGCCCACAAGCGGCAACACGGATATCCTAGGTCGACTGGAGAGTCGACCGTAGATGATCCGTACCTGACTGTGGCTGCACAGCCACAGTCAGAAGACGTCGAGGGAATAAGTCCCCACGTACTTGAGGAAGCAATTCCTCAAGAGTCACTTGCTGAAGGATTAGGCCTTCAGCAACCTGTGAAAAGAAGTTCCCAGGAAGAAACCGAGACGGTGAACGTCTTGGTTAATGACGGATCAAGCGTAGGCGCTTATACGCTTGATCTGATTGTGCCTCCGAAGTTAACTTCGGAGATAACTCAGTTGCCAACGCTAGAACCGAAACGGTTCTAGCGTGATCTGCGTAGTGGCAAAGTCAATCAGGTCTGCATACTCGTCGCGGAGGACGAGTATGTGGCCGATACTCGGTCGGCCACATTATTTGCTGAGAACGAACGGGGTCTCAGCAGCTCATCGATGGACGAAAGTGTCATCGATGAGAAGACTCGGATTAAGAGATATGAATCTCAATCCTGGAAGTCGCTTCAGGCAAATCCTTCGTATAAGAATTTGACCGAATTCAAGGACGTATTCCCTGAATCCGTACCTTGCGAGTTGCCTAAGGACAAAGGCACTCGACACGAGATCGAGCTCAAACCGGGCTCGAAATATTGTGTGATGAAGTAGTGGCCACTGCCTCGTGAACAAGTTACTAGCGATCGACAAGTTCTTTGCCGATCGCTTAGCAGCGGGCCATGTGAGGGAATCAACTTCCCCTCACAGCTCTCCGACCTACTGTGTGCGAAAGGCCACAGGAGGATGGCGGATAGTGCACGCGTTCAACATGTTGAATGCTTCAACGGTACCGGCTTAGACGCCGATATCGAGGAAGGACGCAATCATAGATGGTATGTCTAAGAGTACCATCTTTTCGTCCATGGATCTGATGGATGGATTCTATCAGATCCTGATGCGTGAACGGGACATACCGTACACAGCAGTGAGCACCCCCAGCGGTATGTTGTGGGAGTGGCTAGTGATGCCACAGGGGCTGAGTAATGCCCCTGCTACTTTCAACAGATGTGTAACAAATCTGTTGAGACCGGTGCGGGATTTCGCACCGAGTTATTTCAACGATGTGTTCGTCCATAGCCAGACTATGGACGGAAAGACGGACGTTGAAATTCACCTAAATCATGTTCTACAGGTATTTCAACTTATGCGCAATCATAAGTTGTATGCCAAACTCAAGAAGTGTATATTTGTGGCAAGAGAAATACCACTTCTTGGGTGAATCGTGGGTAAACACGGCGTATGCCCTGATCCCGAAAAGATCAAGGTAAGCACCGACTGGCCAGTACCAGTTGATGTCAAGGGACTTCGTAAGTTCCTTGGCTTAGCTGTCGTACTCACACAAGTACTCGCGCGATCTCAATGAGATGACTGTTCATCGTTCTTGCTTGCTTAAGAAATATGTGAAGTGGTCATGGAACGCTGACTGCCAGAGTTCATTTGAAAGCATCAGGAAAAGCTTGATGCAATCGCCCATCTTGGCGATTGCATATCAGGACAGACCTTTTCATGTGGTCTGTGACGCCAGCGATTTTGCTACTGGCTGTGCGTTGATGCAATTTGACACAGATGGCGCAGAGCGCGTCATCTGTTATCAATCGCGTCAGCTGCAACCAGCTGAACGCAATTACCCAGTGCATGACAAGGAACTACTTGCCATGAAGTACGCACTGGCTAAGTTTTGCGTCTATCTCTTGGGAGATAGACCGTTCATCGTCTATACGGATCATGCGTCACTACGCACGGCTGTAAACAGTCCACACCTCTCGCAACGAATGGAGAGGTGGCTGTATTTCTTCGTGGAGTACAACTTATCCGTGGAGTATAAACCAGAGGGACTAAACGTCGTCGCTGATGCGCTCACGCGCCGGCCCGATTTCGATCCAGACGCACAATTCAACAGTGAGGATAAGCCCTCTGTTGCGACACTGTCAGTCAGTGTCCTGTCGTCAAGTTTACTTAATGACGTACGA